TCATGAAAATGACGGACAAACGATCGACTTTCCATTCGCTCTGTGGCTCTATTCTGCCTTTCAAGATGTTGGTGAAAAACACGCAACGATGTGTATCAAACCGACATGTTCGGTGCATAACATTTCCGAAACCAGACCGTCGTCACCTCCTGTTCTCCCATTTGTCATGCGCCGGAGAGCTGCCGTGAGTTCCTCTGTCGTGACCTCCGGTGCGTCATCCGTCATGCAGGCCTCGTTGATTGCGCCCGTCGTTACCCATTCTTGGTACAAGTCCTCGTGAAATTGAGCGAACGCCTCTGCAATGTCCCCGCTGTCGGAGACGACGACTCCGGCCATCTCCTGCACCTCGGCGACGTTGTCCACTCCAGAATGTCTCTGCTGAGCTCGTTGTAGGCTCCGTAGGCCGCGCCCTTGCTCAGCGACATCGCGTATTTCCTGGCTTTGTTGCTGACGACGTTGCGCCCGGAGCGCTTTCCATAGACGTTTGGACAAACCCTTCCAACATTTTGCGTCCGGCTCTTCCCGCCTCGTTTCAAACAGTTCGGAAAACTCTCGATTGCGCTTCAGTTGTTCCTTTTTTCCCCAGCGCCCCCCCGTCAAATTGCTTCAACCACCGTCGCAGCAACGTCTGATAATCACGATGCTCTTCCGAAAGCCCATCGGTCAACAAAGCGAGGCAATGTGATGGCAAGTTCTGCTCGTCGAGCTCCGCCCCCCCATCCCCTAAGGGTTCTTTGTGTTCCGCTTTGCGCGTTCACACTTCCGACAACGGTTCTGTGATCCGATTTGCCATCCAATCCATTCCAAGCCGACGCTATTGCAACGCAGTTCTGCCTCGACGAATCCACGAAGATGTAGTCTATCTGCCGTTTCTCCCCAGTGCTGTATAGACGATGGGCCCCCGAATGCTCCCATGGATTTGCAAACAACATGGCAATCGCAACTAATTTTACTCCGTGTAGCCAATGCGCCAAGATGTGGCCGCGATCATTTCTTCGGCCGTGCACGTGCTTCCCGAAGGCTCGCCAATCGTTTGCTGGCACTCTCTGGCCCAAGACGGCGTTCGCATCCACCCCAAGAACAGAAGCACCCTTCTGTTTGCGAGCCTGCTGCAGAAGAAGCTCCACGGGGTGCAAGTCAATATATTGCGCCTCGCTGTGGCGCAGGTGCGCCGAAGCAAAACGATAAGAAACTGGGCCGCAACGGAAGTCGAAGTAAACCAACTCTGGGTTGCATGCGCAGAACTGTGTCTCGGCCCCCCGACCCACCCATCCCCTGTGCAATACTATACTGGCGCTCCGCTTCGTTTTGGCAGACGCCGGCGAACAACACCACATATGGCCAGACTCTGGAAATTTCTCTGTACCGTTTCCGGCAAAATGCCCCTCCTGATACAATAAAACATCCCACCGCGCCCCACAATCCGTATCCATATCCAGCATATCGGCAACATTTTGAATCCTGCCCCTCTCCATCCCCTTCGCATTCCAGCTGAGGACGACAAGCTCGCCCCCTCCATCCTTCTCGATGCCCTGCGCAAGCCCTGCGGAAAACCCGGAGACTCAGCCAAAACAGGACCTGCTGGCTGCACCACTCCTATGTCTCGCAAAATCGTGAACGAACATCCCCGTCGACTCCAGTATACCTTCGTCTTCCTCCTCCCTGGGACCTCTGCGGTCCCTATTCCTTGCCGTAGAGCTGGTCGAACTTCTCCTGGTACGCCGCTGCGTCCCCGACGAGCTTCATGCAACCGTCGCTCAACACAGCTGCGCGCTCTTCCTTCCGCCATACAACGCCCTTCCTATAGTTCGTGTCGATGTCCTTCTTGGCGGAGTCGCCGCCCCCCCCCCGTTCATCTCGATGATGGTCCTCGCTGCCTTCCTCACGGCTCTCTCCGTTTTCGCCTCCTCCGAATTCTGGTCATAAAATTTGGTGTCTACGTTGCAATCGATCCGCTTGCGATGGAACTCGTGCTTCTGTCGGGCGGCGGGCATGTCAAGGTAGTCCCACATGGCGTCCACCGTCTGGAAACGAGCTCCACCCCTTTCCGCAAACTTCCCGCCGCACGCAAAAACTTCATCAAGCTCCGCCTGCGCGTCCTTCAACACGCCCTCGAGGATCATGTGCCGAAAGAGAGCGTGCGACTCTGTTCTTCCTCCTTCCCCGTGCTTCTCCTGCCGTTCTGCCCCCGTTCGGCCTAGGCGTCGGCGTCGCAGCCCCTTTTTCACGATATCCGTCACCATCTTGGGCAAATTCTCCTTCATGCTACTCATCTCCCCCTTGACTGCCTCGACCGCCTGCTCGGCCATGGACGCGGTGTATTTGGCATGCTTGGCGATGTCTTTAGCCTCCTCCACCTCCTTCATGGTCTTCCGCATGTCCTTCCTCATGCCCGTCATCATGCTCAGCATCTGCTTCAGCATCTGTTTCGCACTCAGTTCGTCATATTCTTCCTCCATGCCCTCACCCTCTGATTCATCATCCTCTTCCTCTTCCTCTTCTACTGTTTGCTAGTTGTCCTTCGGCGTCGAACCTGTTTTCGAATCCGATGTTGTCTTCCCAGACCTGTCCATAGTGACGACATCCGTCTGGAGCGAATACAAAAAGACACTAATATACCTTGAAACGGCAAAGCCAGATGGTTACTTGAGCCAGATGGTTATGTGATAGTGATAGTGATAGTGATGGTGATGGTTACGAATATTATGATGATGATGCTGATGGCGATGATGATCTTGATGCTGATGATTATGGCAAGGTGGGTGATGATGCCGATGCTGATGAAGACGATGTCAATGATGATGATGCTGATGACGATGATGATGATGATGATGACGATGACGATGATGATGATTGTGGTGATGGTAATGGTGATGATGATGGTGATGATGGCGATGATGACAACGATGACGATGATGCTGCTGATGATGATGGCGATGGTGATGACCATGATTATGATGATAATGATAATGATAATGACGATGACGATGACGATGATGATGTTGATGATTATGATGATAACGTTAAGGACGTCCATGATGATGATGATGATGATGATGATGATGATGACGATGACGATGACGATTACGATGATAATGATGATGATGCTGATGCTGATGCTGATGATGATGATGATGATGATGATGATGATGGATACTATGATGTAACGGTCGGACGCTATGTTCACGGCCGAAGGCGGTCGAATTCAATCTTGAACCCTCGGCCACGGCGATTGAGCAACGCGTCCTTCGCCTCTCCGTTCGCGATGCTCCAGTCTCATCCAATCCCCTTGTCCCTGGTCGACGGCCCTCCTGCTCCTTTTCCCGCGTCCCCCTCCTCCTGCCGCACTTCGGTCGCGCATGCGCAGTGACTTACAGCAGCAGCGCCCGCAGCGCACACCTGTTCTCCCACCTCCTCATGTTCCTCCCTCCTCCTCCTCCTCCTCCTGTTGTTTTATTTCTCCTCCTCCTCCTCCTGTCGGTCTCCTCCCGAATCCTCATTTCCCTCCTCCTCCCACCCGTCCGCCTCCCTTTGCTTTCCTCACATTGCACCTCCTCTTGCTTTCCTCACATTGCACCTCCGCATGCTCCCCTCCCGTCCTCATTCGGGTAGGGGATCGACTACAAAATGGATTCAAACCAAACTTCATTGCTCCGTCGGATCTGTAGAAAAGGAGCAGACTGTTCCGTGGAACTACGGAGCACGATACGTTCGTTCGACGGACAAAAAACAATTCTGGGGTCTGCAGTCGATCCCCTACTCGACTCATACTCCTCTGCGCCCTCCTCCAACCCTCGGGCAACTGCCCACACTGCATCACGGACCCGCGGCTCTGGCGCGCGGGCGCCAGATCCACGCATCGGGGCAGGCCCCCCGAGTCATGCAGCCGGCGTCGCCCGATGCGGCGAGGCACCGGGCCGACACTTTGGACGCCCGAAGTGGGTACGGACAGGATGGGCACAATGCCCAACAACAAGTGCTGTCCCAAGCCAACAGCGGCCGCTGTTGGGCAGGCGGCCTTCTGTCTCGAATGGACACAGGCCGCGGCGGCGTGGACAGCGAATCCTGTTCAAAATGAACAGGAACTGCTGTTGGGCATTGTACCCATTATTTCCGTACCCATTTCGGGCGTCCTGCAGAGACACGGGCGGACAGCAACGTGACCGGTCGCTGATCAACGCGCCCGAATCCTTGGTTGCGCTTCCTCGATGCTGAGGGGCAACGATAGGGGGGGACTGGCATAGGGGGGGGTGCATCGACCTGGAATCGGCGAGACATCGCGGATAGATCGGCGATGGGCCTCCCATCGTGAATCCGCACCTTCATGGGCAGGTTGGGGCTATCTGGCCCCTATCGGTAATCAACCGGCGATTGGGGGCCGATGCATCCCCCCCTATGCCTATCCCCCCTGTAAGAACGGTTTTTTGAAGGCAGATCTGCCTTCAAAAAATTGACTTTGGAAGGCAGATCTGCCTTCAAAAAATGGCCTACTCTGTAAGAACGGTCTTTTGAAGGCAGGTCTGCCTCCAAAAAATGGTCTACTCTGCGAGAACGGTTTTTTGAAGGCAGATCTGCCTTCAAAAAACCGTTCTTACCATAGTTGCCCCTGGGATGCTCCGCCCCCCCGACCCTTGCTCCTCCCTCGGGGATCTTCTGACCCGGGTCAATCCAGACCCGGGTCAGCAGGAAACCAAAAACTGCAATGCAGGAACAAAAAACTGCAACGCAGGTCCTCGCAAACCCGGGTCAGCCAATACGCGCGGCCGCCCCGCGGCCACGAGCGGCTCCCAAACCCGGGTCGGCCAGAGGGGGTCTTCGCAGGATCCTGCAGGATCTGGCGCCATGGCTGACCCCCGTTTGCATTGACCCCCGTCTCAATGCTCCCGACTCCCGGCGCCCCGGCCTCCCCGGCGCCCCGGGGCCCCGCCGGGCGAGTCTGCGGCCCCTCCTCCCGCCCCCCCTCCGGAGGGCGGCCCCGCGGGGCGGGGGGGGGGGGGCTCCTGAGAGCCGTCGTCGCTGTCGAAGCCGGAGGGGTCGGCGATCTCCATGGCCACCGCGGGCCCCTCGAGAGGGGGAAGAGCACGGCGGAGGCCCGCGCCGCGACGACCCCCGCGTGGATATCTCTGACACCGCGCGGGCCGTCCATAGCCTTCCGCGGTCGGCGACGTCCCGCGCGCCAGGCCGTTCCATGCTGGCCGATTCTGAGCCACGGGCGGCGCTCCACCGCCAAGCGCCCGCGGCGGGGTCGCCGCCGCGCCGGCACGACGCGAGCCTGCTGTGAGCAAGAGGCCGAATGGGAGCCTGGGGCTGCACCTCAACCCTGGGGTTATGTCGGGCGTGTCCCCCTACAGGGGATCTTCGACGAAAAATAAAACACACCCTAAAAATGCCCCCCCCCCCCCCCCAAAAAACAAGTACAAAAAGAAACTAAAAAAATAGTCCCTGGGGCGCGGAGCAGCGCCCCAGGAGCGCTGGAGGCGGCGCCCGAAAGTTGAAGCCGCCCCAGGCTACTCGGGGGGCCTGTCGAGGCCAGCGGGGACCCGGGGGGCCTGCCGAGGCCCGCCCGGACTACCTGGGGGGGCCGTGCGCCCGCAGCCCGAAGCCTTCACTCAGGTCTGGCACTGCAGAAGCATGGAGCATGGCAGACAGAACACACCAGAGCCCCGCATCCCAACTTTCTGCGCCGCTTTCGGCCCAGATCGATCTGTGTCCCGGGGCCCGGAACTGGGCGAAAACCCCCGTCGTGAAAAACTGCAACGCCAAGATCTGAGAGACTCACCGTGCCTAGACCGCCGACGTCATTATGTTTCGTAACGCCAACCCCCAAACGTCATTTCCCGGGACCAGTTTTCATCCTGAATCGTTTGTGACGGTCCCGAGGAACAGCGAGGGCCCCCGCAGGCCAAAAGTAAGGAGAAATGCCCGTCAGAATTTTTCACGGCGCGAGCATTTCTGGGTACAGTGGAGGCCCGATCACAAGAAACCTTCCACAAGAAACCCAACCCTGAGACCACAGGACGTCCATCGATTTCTGGTGTAGGAACGTCACGCTTCCCACTGCAAAACCATCGAAACCCAAGAACCCCAGGGCACCCTGGAGGCAAGCAGGGTGTTTCTTGACATAGATCTCCACTGTACCGTCACTCGCCCCCCTAATTGCATTGAGCAAGGACCGACCGTCCCGGCATTCCTGTAGGCACAACACGACATGTTCTTAGAACCCCAAAAAGGTGTTAAGAACAAAAGTAATGTTCTTACATGATGAAAGACCGATGTGTTCAACCAAGACAGCCTCAGACAGACAGGTTCTAAGGACATGTCGTGCAAACCACACACAAGGTTATCAGAACATTCTTTGGTGGGCCTATAGTAAAGTCGGGCATGTCCCCCTTCAAGCGGATTTTGGACGAAACATACGAAATACCCAAACAGTGTTCCAACATTATTGAAAACATGACAAAACAAAATCGACCCCAGACTATAGTTTTAGATGTCCTTCCTGTAGAAGGACACGCCCGACTTGAGCCTATGGGGAAGCCAGGACGCTTCGCCACTGCTTGAACTTTGAGGGGAAGCAATGTGCAGAGGGGACGGGCCCGCTCAGAGGGTGCGTGTGCGTGTGCGTGTGCGTGTGCGTGTGCGTGTGCGTGTGCGTGTGCGTGTGCGTGTGTGTGTGTGTGTGTGTGTGTGTGTGTGTGTGTGTGTGTGTGTGTGTGTGTGTGTGTGTGTGTGTGTGTGTGGGGGGGAAACTCGGTCTGGAGTCGGCGACACATCGCCCATACTTAGATCCGCGAACAACTCGTTCCCAAATGCCGCTATGTGAGGCGGAGGGAAATGAGGAGAAAGAGGAGGAAGAGGAGGATGAGGAGGAAAAGGAGTTGAAGAGGAGGAGGAGGTGTTGAAGAGGAGGAGGAGTTTAAGAGGAGGAGGAGGAGGAGAAGGAAGAGGAGGAGGAGGAGGAGGAGGAGGAGGAGGAGGAGGAGGAAGAAGACTGGCGTGACCGCCCACTGCCGTGGGGACGCGACCCGGGACCCCGGGGCAGCGGCGGATGTGATACACACATCCACAGGGGCGGGCAGAGGTCCACATCCGCCGCTCGTCGAGACTCCAGGGCGAGGGGGCACAGCTCATGGGCTGGAATCCGATGGGCCTGTCTTCCACCATTACCACCATACGTTGGAGGAAGGGATCCTCCTCCTCCTCCTCCTCCTCCTCCTCCTCCTCCTCCTCCTCCCCCTCCCCCCCCCCCCCCTCCCCCTCCAACTCCTCTTCCTCCTCCCCCACCCCCCCCTCTCGTCGTCCCTCCTCCTCCTCCTCCTCCTCCTCCTCCTCCTCCTCCTCCCCCTCCCCCTCCCTCTCCTCCTCCTCCACTTCCTCCTCCTCCTCCTCCTCCTCATCCTCCTCGTCCTCCTACTCCTCCTCCTCCCCCTCCTCCACCTTTTTCCCTCCCCAACTTTCTGTGGTGGTGGTGGTGGTGGACAAACAGGCCCAGCAGAATCGGCGCCGAGATAGATCGGCCGCCGACGGGCACGACGTCGCGGCGGTGGCAACTAAGAGGCTTGCTAGCTTGAAGGAGCCCTGGGACACACACACACACACTAACACACACACACTAACACACACACACACACTAACACACACACTAACACACACACACACACTAACACACACACACACTAACACACACACACACACACACACACACACACACACACACACACACACACACACACACACACACACACACACACACACACACACACACACACACATAAATAGACACAAATCCGCCGACCCCTTGGGGTTCATCGGCGTGTGAAATCTTCCCCCTCCCCAAACCCCTCCCCCGGGAGCCAGGTCCGGTCGATTTGGAGGGGGGGGGGTCCGGCCGGATTCCCCGATTCCCCCGGGGGGGTCATCCGCTCCCGAAAATCCTGCAAGGACCCTTCCAGTGGCCTCGAAATGACCCCGGGACGCACCACGACGGGTCAAGAGGACCTCCACGTGGCCTTCAGTGGCTCCAAGATGCCCCAAGACAGCTCACGATGCCTCCAAGACGATCCAAGAGGCCCCGAAGGGGCGCTCCAAGAAGGTCCACAGCAGCGTAAATCCTTGATCTTCCATGCGGAAACGTACATTTTTAGCACCGACGACTTTTCAGCCTGCACGGAGTTCCAGCCAGTCTACGAGGCCCCCAAGGCCACCCCATGACGTCCCAAAATAGTCCCACAAGGCGCCCAAGACGCCCCAAAACGGCACCAAGACGGCCCCAGAGGCTCCCGAATCGGCCCAAACCCCCCTCCCCGGGAGCCTGGTCCGGTCGATTTGGAAAGGGGGGGGGGGGTCCAACCGGATCCCCCGGGGGGGTCATCCGCTCCCGAAAATCCTGCGAAGACCCCTCCGGTGGCCTCGAAATGGCCCCGGGACGCACCACGACGGGTCAAGAGGACCTCCACGTGGCCTTCAGTGGCTCCAATATGCCCCAATATGAGCTCAAGACAGCTCACGATGCCTCCAAGACGATCCAAGAGGCCCCGAAGGGGCGCTCCAAGAAAGTCCACAGCAGCGAAAATCCGCCGACCCTTTGGGGTTCATCGGCGTGTGAGATCTTCCCCCTCCCCAAACCCCTCCCCCGGGAGCCCGGTCCGGTCGATTTGGAGGGGGGGGCTCCGGCCAAATTCCCCGATTCCCCCGGGGGGGTCCGGCCAAATTCCCCGATTTTTCCAGGGGGGTCATCCGCTCCCGAAAATCCTGCAAGGACCCCTCCGGTGGCCTCGAAATTGCCCCGGGACGCCAAACGAGCGCTCCAAGACGCCCAAGGTGGCCCAAAGACGGAACACGAGGCCTCCTAGACGGCACAAAAGGTCCCCACGAGGCCCCAAGAGGCTTCCAGGATGCGTCCAAAGAGGGTCCCTAGACGTAAACAAATTGCCCGTTCCCTCCGTTCAACGTACATTTTTCATAAGTTCGCCTTCTGGGTTTTCCGATGCTCCCAGACGGCCCAAGAGGCCCCCAAGACCGCCCCAAGACGGCCCAAGAAACCTCCAAGAGGGTCCCAAAATAGCCCCAGAGGGCCCCAAGACGGGCCAACAGGCGTCCAAGACGGCCCAAGAGGGCCCCGAAAACGGTCCCCGGAGCGCTCCAGGAGCGCTCCGAGTGGCCTCCAAGAGAACTCAATATGGTCCCAGAAGGTCCAAGAGCGATCAAAGACACCGAAGACGGCCTCCAGAAGGCCCAAGATGCCCCCAAGAGGCCCCAAAAAACATCCAAGATGCGCCCCAAGAGGGCCTCTAGACGCAACAAATTGACCCGTTCCCTGCGTAAAACGTATATTTGTTTCACGGCTTTCCGACGCTCACAGACAGTAAGAGGCCCCCAAGACCACACCAAAACGGTCCAAGAAGCCTCCAAGAGGGCTCCAAGACAGCCCAAGAGGGCGCCAAGACGGCTCAAGAGGCGCCGAAGACGGCCCACGAGAGCCCCGAAGACGGCCCCAAGAGCGCTCCAGGAGCGCTCCAAGTGGCTTCCCAGAGAGCTCAACATGGTCCCACACGGTCCAAGAGCGATCGAAGACACCCGAGATGGCCTCCAGCTGGCCCAAGACGCCCCCAAGGGGCCTCCAAGATGCGCCCCAAGAGGGCCTCTAGACGCAACAAATTGGCTCGTTCCCTTCGTACAACGTATAGTTTTCACGCATTCGCCTCGTGGGTTGTCCGACGCTCCAAGGCGGCCCAAGAGGCCCTGAAGACCGCCCCAAGACGGTTCCCAAGACGGCCCCACGACGGCCCAAGATGGCCCCAAGACGGCCCAAGAGGTCCCCAAGACGGCACAAGAAGGCTCCAAGACGGCACCAAGAGGGGCCCAAGAGGGCAACCAAAAATTCAAAAATCTAGCTTTCCGCCCCCACGAGCCCCAGGGGGCCCCAAGAGTGCCCCAAGAGGCCGCCAGAGGCCCCCAAGAGGCCGCCAAGACGCCCCAAGGAGCCCCCAAGAGGCCCCCAGGAGGCCTCCAAAAGACACCCAGACGCTTCCGCATTGCGAGCCGTCAAGCCAACTGCAATGCACTCCGCGCATGCAGCCTTGCTCTTCCTCGCGACGTGCTCACAATCTTGCTCGGCGCTAATGTGCTGTTGCCACGCGAACTGTTTCGTGCGCGCTGCGAACGTCAACAGCCTCTTCACCCGTTTCGACTCATCCGCCACATCTTTCGCGGTGATGCTTCGCTGATCGCAGCTTCCGCACGCTACTCTTGCTCCTTTCGTCTTCCGGTGGTCCTCCACTTGGTTGCGGGTCGAAAGGCCGACCTCCCAGAAGGACACCCCGCACCCGGGTGCACAGCACGCAAGGCGCTCGCAAAACACGCCCCAGACCACCGGCATCACGCAAACATTTGGACCCCCTACGTATCTGCCACCACCCGCGCGCGACACCACACCCTCACACAAAACGCCGCTGGTCAGAAACTCCTGGCCTCGCAACAATCACAGAAGGGGTCGGCGGATGTGGCGTAAGCCTGTAGAATCAAAGGATTCCCCATATTTTCCATATGTTCTGGGTTTTCGTCTTCCCCCCCACTTCCCACATTTTCCTTACATTTTCCTGGGGATCGACGATTCATTGTGTCTGTGTTGTTGTCCCTCCTGATAGATGGGGTCGGAAAAGATGGGGGCGGAGGATCGCGCCGCATCGCCGAGACATCGGCGAGGCAGCCGCGATGCGTCGGTGATGCACGGGCGACGCATCGTCGACGTCGGCGATGCATCGGCGACGTCGGCGTGAAGCACATCGGGCCCCACATCGAGCCGCATCGGCGATTCATCGGCGATGCGGCGCAGTCCTCAGACCCCATCAGCTCCGACCCCATCTGGGAGGCCTCGAGCTACCCAGACCCTGACATTATAAACTGTTCACGGCGTGGACCCCCGAGGTCTCGACCAGCCCGCAGGGCGGTGTTTCAGTCCAAGTCGCTTTCGACGGGCCTGGCGAGGGGCCACAGAGCTTGACCATAGCAAAACAAAACTTCCGCCAATATTGTCCTTGCGTTCTTCGCTGATGCGTTTCCTAAACAAAAACGCCGGCGAAAGGGACATCTGTGACCGCGGCGTTGCATTTGAGACTCCTGAAAGCGAGTGAAAGCGTCCCGCGACGACCTTGCGGGCGAAGCCGAGCGGACTTGAAAGCATCGCCCGTCTCAAGAGCCCTTTCTCTGGGGTCCCTCTTGGAACCGCACGATTCCCAACCCTGCCCAGACATCCGCCGGTATATGTTTTCCAAGATCCGCGGCCCCAGAGGTCCTGACCCCTTCCCTGGGGGGGCCTTTTTTCCTCGCCCCAGATCGATTTGTTAGATGGTCCCCAGGCCCGACAACGGGCCTCGGAGGCCGAACTCCAGGGAAAAACCTGCTGCGTTGAACGAAAAACCTACCCTCGGATCTCTCGGTCCCGAGTTCTCCTAGACGAAGAACAATCGCCGTAAACAGTCAACTTTTGCTGAGCATTTCCTTAGGGTGGAGGGCTCAGGGTGAAATCCATATGGGCTTCTGCGCTTAGAAAATCAGTCGGCCTTGCGCCTCACCTTTGGCAGAATCAGGCCTCAAACATCTATCGAAACGGCATGCCAGCTTTCAGCCTTTGCCCTCCACCCAAAGAAGATGCTCGGTTTTGGCGCTCCGCAGGACTTTCTTGGCTCTGCGCTGGACCACACTCATTGACGCGCGGAGCGCGCCGCAGGGGCGGTGCCGGAGGCGCCGCTGGGGGGGGGGGGGGGGCGCCAGCGCGGATCCGAGAACTCCGCGCGGAGCACCCAAAGATGATGCCCATGGCGTTCTTTCTTCTTTAGGGGACCGCATGCGAACCATACCCCCACGATTTCTGAAGGGGAGGGTGGGGTAGGGTTCGCATCTGGCCCCCTATTCTTCGACTCTGGGCTCCCGTTCGTGGGGGGATCGGGGGGGGCCCAGCGCGGATCCAAGAACTCCGCGCGGAGCGCCCAAAGATGATATCTACGGCGTTCTTTATTCTTCGACTCTGGACTCCCGTTCTCGGGGGGATCGGGGGGGGCCCAGCGCGGATCCAAGAGCTTCGCGTGGAGCGCCCAGAGTTTGTGCCTGTGACGCTCTCCCTTCTTCGACTCTGGGCCCCGGTTCTGGGAGGCCACGTGCGAAACCTCACCCCTTTGACCCCCACGACTTCTCAGGGGGAGGGTGGGGTTCACTTCGTTCGGGAGCTCCCGAGGGTAAGGTGGTGTTAAGGAATGTCCAGGGGGGCTTCGGATCGGACCCTGGAGGGTTCCTTATCTGATGAGGTCGGCAGGGATATCCATGGCCAATCCACGATGTGTGCTCTACCGACTTCCAAACCCTGGATCCTTATCCAATGGTTCCTTCCTTATCCAACGCCCTCACCGTAGGGGTAAAATTTGCATGTGGTTCCCGTTCTCCGCCTTGGACGCCCGAAATGGGTACAGAAACAATGGGTACAATGCCCAACAACAAATGTTGTC